CATAACACTTTGTAGAGCTTGATAATTCATTCTATCGTGGTCTATAAGCAGTGTTGAAATACTCCTTCAACCAGCGTTTGCATAACACTTTGTAGAGCTTGATAATTCATTCTATCGTGGTCTATAAGCAGTGTTGAAATACTCCTTCAACCAGCGTTTGCATAACACTTTGTAGAGCTTGATAATTCATTTTATCGTGGTCTATAAGCAGTGTTGAAATACTCCTTCAACCAGCGTTTGCATAACACTTTGTAGAGCTTGATAATTCATTCTATCGTGGTCTATAAGCAGTGTTGAAATACTCTTTCAACCAGCGTTTTCATAAAGTTGTATACAGCTTGAAAATCTTACCATAGTTTGTAAATAATGCTAGGATTCCACAGCTAGCATTTACATAACGCTATATACAGCTTGAAAATCCTATCATAGTCGAAAATTAGTTCTATAATATCACCACAACAAGCGTTTACGTAACTTTATTTCCAGCTTGAAAATCACATCACTGCTTATTCCAGTGTTTACAAAACGTTATATACAGATTGAAAATTTTGTCAGGGTCTATTATGTGCACTGGGAGGCTCATACAAACAGCGTTTTCTTATCTAACATCCCATATATGTTGAAAATCCCATCATGTTCTATTATCAGTGTTGGGATATCTGTGTGATCGGAGTGTTGAAACGGTCGCTAGGAAACTGTGGTTCTCATACAATAGATGGGTTATGGAAAGGAGCATGCAGGAGGGGTGGATACGACAACCTTAAGACAGAGCGTTTTGTAGTGTAAACTACGCTGCAGGGCTGCAGCATGGCTATTTGCAAGCTGGTAGGAATGTAGCGACACGGACATGAACTGCAACGACGTTGTGTTGATATAAACTCATTTTAATATAATCTACTTAATCTCGTAGAAATGGCAATTTCTGTCTTCTTAATAACAAAATAAAACTAGTTAAAAATTCAAGTTGCCTAGGAGGAATATGATATTCCCACAGAACTTCTACGGTGTACCATCTGGGCTGACGATGGAGCTTATCGATTAAAACATCTCTGCCAAGCTTCGTTAATATAGTCGAACTTGTACTGAATGACAGTGGCGCCGCCCTTATCAGCTTGTTTAATAATAATGTCATTGTCATGTTTCAGTGAAATTAGAGCAGCATGTTCGTTGTAGGAGAGATTATTCCGTACTTTTAAGTCAGAGTTAATGTCTTGAATTACTTCATTCTCAATTGCAGTAATAAAGCTCTCTAAGTGTGGTTCTCTGTTGACTGGGGGTGAACAACTGGATTTTTCTTTAAACTGTGTACTGATATCGTTTACGTTAGTGAATTTATTGTGGGAAAACGCTATTTATTTAATCCAGTGCCGAAAATGCAACTTCCAGTATGTAGGCCAAACTAAAATAACTATACGGGAGCGGTTTAATAACCACAAATCTTCAATAAAAACGAACAAAGAACTTCCGGTTGCAGAGCATTTCAACATGCCTGACCACTCTCTTGACGACATGATACTGACAGGTACAGAGACAAATTTTACAACAAACAGAAACATGGAAATTAAAGAAGCTTACTAGATAGCACTGTTAAATACTGTAACACTGAATGGCATCACTCTCGATCCTGGGATTGTTGACCTTCGAGCGTCTCTAAAAAAATTTCGACTAACTTGTCATTAAACTTATAAAGTTTTATTATTCACATGTTTATTCATGCTTCTATTTCTCTACATTATTATTTCAGGTATTGATTTACATTATTATTTTCTCTAGCTCTCATCTTCATATGTATTTATTTTTCTCTATCAGTCAAAAGCTTCATACATAATGAAAATTAATAATAATTGTTTTGTTTTTTCTCTCTACAAACGAATTCTCCATTCATGGGGGACTAACGGCTTGAGTTGGGATTGGCTGGTCATCAGATTCAACTCAACTGGGACTTCCGGTTTACATGACGTCACGCGTCCTACTATATATTTCATTGCGCAGGCTAAAGGTCACCCTTTGTTGTCCTGAAGAAGAATAGTCAACTATTCGAAAGGGCTCGAGTTTTGCCTTGTATTTATGTCTATTACATTTTATATGTGATTCTTTATGCTAACTCTTTTATCAAAACCAATAGTAAGCGGTGGGTGTTATTAACTAGATGCCTTCCTTGGGATTTTTCAGCTTAAAATTATGTGCAGATAAATATTGCGTGGATATGTGCAAAAATCCTAAAATTCATTCCCAGGATCCCGGCATGGCCAGGTGGTAAGAGCACTCGACTCGCAATTTGAGGGTCGAGGGTTCGAATCCTCGTCCCACCAAACATGCCGTTGGGGCGTTATAATGTGACGGTTCATCCCAATATTCGTTGGTAAAAGAGTAGCCCAAGAGTTGGCGGTGAGTGGTGATGACTAGCT